AATGAAAGAAAAAATCAAAGACCTAACAAAATGGAGATAAGCAACTATCAGATGCAGAGTTCAAAACAATGGTTATAAGGATGCTCAAGGAATTTAGTGAGGGCTTCAACAGTATTAAGAAAGATCCAGTCAGAAATGAAGGACACATTAATTGAAATAAACAATTTACAGGGAAACAACAGTACAGTGGATAAACCTGCAATCAAATCAATGATTTGGAACATAAGGAAACGAAAAAACAATCAGAACAAGAAGAAAAAAGAGCTCCACCACAAATGATAACAGTATAAGCAGCCTCTGGGAAAACTTCAAGCATTCCAACATTTGCATCATAGAGGTGCCATGAGGGGAAGAGAAAGAGCAAGAATTTGGAAATCTACTTGAAGAAATAATGAAAGAAAACTTTCCCTAATTTGGTGAAGGAAATAACACGTGCAAGTCTAGAAAGCACAGAGTTACAAGCAAGATGGGTTTAAAAAGGCCCACTCCATAATAAAATGCCAATGCTTAAAGATAAAGAGAGAATCTGAAAAGCAGCAAGAGAAAAGAAGTTACTTATCTACAGGGGAGTTCTCCTAGGACTGTCAGCTGATTTCTCTAAACTTTGCAGGCTACAAGGGATTGATTGGCAAGAAACTTTCAAAGTCAGGAAAAGCAGAGACCTGCAGCCAAGATTGCTCTACCCAGCAAAGCTATCATTTAGAATTGAAGAGCAGATAAAGGGCTTCCCAGACAAGAAAAAACTAAAGGAGTTCATCATCACCAAACCATATTACATGAGATGTTAAAGGGACTTATTTAAGAGAAAAAAGATCGAAACTACGAACAATAAAATGGCAAAAAGAAAATACATACCTACCAACAACTGCATCTAAAAAACAAAGAAAGGAAACAAGAACAGAGACAGAATCAGTGATACAGAGAGTGTTTTGATGGTTGCCAAATGGGAAGTGTGGTGTGAGGGAATGGGTGAAGAGGTAAAGGTATTAAGAAGTACAAGTTGGTAGGTACAGAATAGCCATGGGGATGTAAAGTACAGTATAGGAAGTGGAGTAGACAAAGAACTTATAGGCATGAGCCATGGACATAAACAACAGTGTGGGATTGCCTGAGGGAGTGCAGGGAACAGGGCAGAGGGGGCAAAATGGTAACAACTGAAATTGTGTGATCAATAAAATATAAATTTGCCCTGGCTGGTGTGGCTCAGTGGATTGATCGTGGGCTGCAAACCAGAGGGTTACCAATTTGATTCCCAATCAGGGCACATGTCTGGGTTGCAGTCCAGGTCTCCAGTGGGGGCCATGTGAGAGGCAATCACACATGGATGTTTCTCTTCTTTTTCTTCCTCCCTTCCCCCCTCTCTGAAAATGAATAAATAAAATCTTTAAAAAATAAGTAAATAAAAATTTAAAATATATTTACAAAAAAATGAAAGGACAACTGGGAATATTGGAAATAAAAGGTGACAAAGTCATTAAGTTATAAAATTAGAACTGAGATGACAAAGAGCAAAGCTTTTTTACAGATAAGGAACTGGAGACATCAAAGGCTGAGTGACCTAAGGCAAGGAGGCCACTGAAGGGAAAAGCTCAAATGTTTTACTAGCTGAAATTTCACACACTATAGACCAATCAGCTACTGACTGAATCGCGGCAGAAAACCCCATTATCCTAATTCCCCTTCCTTCACTTAATATGTTGTCCACAGAATGTTCTGATCTTGGTTTTAGCTTTCTAATAAACTTCTCTATTGGAAATAGTGTTTACTCAGTTTTGGAGTAGGAAGTAACCCTGAAGATCTTTAATCTTCTCCAAATCCCTCACTTGGGGAATGGCAGGATGAGGTGTGGCTAGTCTTCAAACACTTTTCAGAGCTTTCTGTATTAGCTCCAAGGAGTAGTATAGAGAATAACTCTATAGAATTCCAGGGATCGAATTTCATTAATTAGAGCTGTCTAATACCAGAATTGGCTTCCTTCATAGGTATGTTTCTTAAGCTCCTTCATAGGTAAGTCTCTTAGGAAAATGTTATCGGAGAGAGAAGTTGCAGGGAAGATACATGTGCCGGGCAAAAATCATAGCAAATTGTTAAGATTCCTCTAAACTAACTAAATGACAGTACTTACTAATTTCAAACCAAATAAAATGTTATAGTCAAATTTAAGAGTTTCTGGTTCGATTTAAATAAGCCTACTAGTGAGACACCTCTAAACAAAACACTGTTAATCCAAATAACGTCACCATTCTATCAAGAGATCAGAGTGTATTGAAGGGAAGGGGGGGAGGAAGCCACTTACCTCCGCAATGTAATAACTAAAATAAATAAGTAAATAACTTGTAACACAATGTGTCATTTTCTCCTAAAAAGGACCAATACGTGTATGTATGAAAGAGAATGTGAAGGGAGAGGCTATTGGGAAAGGTACTTACCTGCCTCCTGTAACAACTGGAAAATACAACTAGTAATTTTATTTGAGATTGCAGCTTTTCCTTCCAGGTGATTCTTTCTGGCTGCATTTCCTGCTGTAATCTGGTCCTTGGACTGCAGGAGGACTTTTCCAGGACTATCTACCAATTCATAGACTTCTTTTGTTTTACCCTCATAGAGTTTTTTACCAATGTTTAGTACTGTGGAAATAAAATGGAAACATCAAATTTCAGGAAGAAATTTCCTAAATATTGAAAACTAAATACTTAGGATGATGAATCAGTGAACATACAAAGTGGTTAAGTAAAAACTGCACATAAGTTTATACTCTACAAAGTACTTCTGCATGCATCATCCCATTTCATTCACACGATTTTGTAAATTATTATGTAAATAATTACAGAGCTTAAGAAACAAAGTTATCAAAAACATGGAAGTCACACAATTAGAAAATGGCAGTCAGACAAAATCCTAAATCTGAGATCAAATTTTACAGTCTTTCCACTACCAACCTGACTCTCACGGCAGAACTGAAACAGAATGAAGATCCATTAAAACTGAATAGATTAGTTTTTCACTTGGGGGGGGGGGCGGGCAGGGGTGTTGCTTTCTTCCAAATGGGTTCTTGATTCAAAGTCAATGTGCAAGAGGAGGCACCTCCACCCACCATTGGCCCATCTGCAAACAACCTTCCCTTATTTTTCAACCCTGCATCCCAATCCCCACATCCTTAACCCTTTCTCTTCACAGTTGGCAGTAAACTATGAGGATGTAAGGACAAGAGTATCCAATTCTGATGCAGGTTTTTAGCCCTAAAGAAAAGCAGACCCTCATCATTAGAAAAAATGATTTAGATGAAGATTACAGGTAACAGAAGTTTAAGTACTTCAAATTTCCAAAGGGAGAAATCATTAATTTTCCCAGAACACTGACTTATTCTTGGTTATCACCATTTTTTAGTGTACACGTGTCAGATAGTAGGGGTAAATACCGGTAAAAGGAGACTAAGTTCCTTCTATCAAGGGACTTGAGCCTGAGGGAAGGTAAAATTTTAGAGGGAATGTAAATTCTTGAGGGAATGTAAAATGTGAGAAACATACAGACTATGAGATCACAGATTTATAGCAGAGCCACCGAACCTAGTTCAGAAATCAAAGAAGTCTAGAACAAAGTGAGGATTCGGCTGAGATCTGAGAAATGATCAAAAAATTTAATCAGCAGCATAAATGGCACAATCTTTCCTGAGGATCTAATCACTCACTTGTGAACAAAATGATTATGTAAATATGACAAATGCAAGGTGAAGTAAAGCTGGTGGTTTTGAAGCAGTCCGAGGCCATCATGGAGTCAAAAGACTACTTTCAGAACACATACCCAAAGTCTGGACAGAAAACAGCAAAATTTTCAGAAGGTTCAATTATTAAATTTTTGGCAAGACTTGGGTTTGAAGAGTCAACACTAGATGTTCCTGTTTGCTTTCAGTGCCCACTGATTACAAAATTGGTTTCCAGGCACCTCTCCAACCCCTGGCCGCTTCTCGTTCCAATTATCCTGTTCCTCTACTTTGTTCCTTTTCCATATCCCAAAGGCAGTTCTGCGTGTTTCACAAAGTTCGAGGAAGCCTGGGTGCGCTTTGTATTTAACGCGCACTGGGCCACGTGTCCGCCCGCCCCAAGGCCTACAGGGGTGGGGCATTGCCCCGGGACGCTTACGGTCAGGCCCAAGGGGCGTGCGCGGGCCGCCGAGCCCAGGAGCCCAGGAGCCCAGGAGCCCAGGAGCCCAGGAGCCCAGGAGCCCAGGAGCGCCCAGGGCCGGGGAGGTGGGAAGGCAGTGGAGGGCAGGGGTGCCCGGCGGACTCCTGGGCGCGCCCGGCACTCACCCTGTGCTGTCGCCATTATCCTGGGTGGGCTGGGGGGAGCGGTCGCGCTAGGACTCTGTAAAAGAGTGGTCAGAGAGACTGACGAGGCGAGGGGAGCCGCGGCCCACAGACACTCCTCCGGCGGGGCGAGGTAACCTAGAGCGCGCGCCCGGTCAATAACCACAGCAGACCCACTCGGTCTCTGCCCACCCGCAGGGACTGCGACTCCCCAAGCGAGCGCGGGTACAGAGAATTCCCGCCGCGCAGGCGCAGCGACGTAAATTGTCTACTCCCGCCCTCGCCCCGCCTCCGCCCCGCCCCCTAGAAATGGGGAAAGTGGCGCGCTCCGAGGGCCCCCTCCGGTCCCAGCCGGACAGAATTTAACTGGCCTTGTTTCCTTCTCTGCAGGGAGAGCGGTTCTGAGGTTTGAGTGTACCAAGTGGTGTCGGACGGGGGAAGGCAAATAAGGAAGGGCATACGAAGTTTAAATCCCCTGGGAGAGGAATGACGTTAACCCAGTCTCATCACTTCAATCTATGGTGCTGAAAAATAACGGTGATTTCTACGTGCTGAGAAATCATCCTCACGCTGGGCTCCAGCGTAAGACTAGCCCCACCCCTCAGTGGCGTCACACCGCCCCTCAGCCGCAGAGTGTTTCTCTATTTCTCCCCCCACCCCCGCCCCTGCTCATTGGCAACCTAGTCACGCCTGTTTAGTTGGGGAAAGCACGCGCCGCCGCAGTAGCGAGGAGCTCGTCGCTCCTTGGAAGGAAGTTTACGAGGCGTACAGGCTTTGCGGGCTTCTGGTTGGCGCTTACACCCCGGCGGCGGGAGTTCCCTCCACGTGCTTCCTCTGGCAACATGGAGCTGGAGGAGTTAGGGATCCGAGAGGAATGTGGCGTGTTCGGATGCATCAGCTCAGGAGAGTGGCCCACGCAGCTAGATGTACCGCATGTGATCGCTCTGGGACTCGTGGGGCTGCAGCACCGGTGAGCAATCCGGTGAGGGGTGGGGGCGGCGTGGCGCGTGCTTCTCCATCAGCCCAGGCTGCCTTCAGTGGCCCGAGTTAGCGGTCTGCCTGCCGTTCGCCTGATAACCGCGGGGGCCCAGACCTCTCTAACCTGAACCAGTACCTGCCTGCCTTTCCGCCGATCTCTTAGTGCTCTTTAAGGACTCTCCCCTCCCACCGGTGTGTGCACTCCGAGTGCAGGCCCGTTTTAATTTCTCTGCCCCTAGAGCAGCACTTGTGATAGGCTTGTATCGGTGGCTGCTGGTGTTGGCGCAGAGCCTGTTTGCGAAGGCTTTTGATATGAAGGTAATCTTAGGTGTAGGAACTTAAGAATCCTTAGTTCAAACCCGAGGAAATAGGATTTACCGGTGTTCAAAAAGACCGATTCCGGTTCCTTTGACATGTCATATAAATTAACTGGGGGGAAAAAACCCGATTACAGAGAATGGTGCATCTGCAAAATTTAAAGGTTTACGTTCTAGATATTGAGAAGATTAGTGGTAAAAGAAGATACCAAAAAGTAACTGCCTTTAAAAGAAGGACGGAATAGTTCCTGTGTGGCGAGATTAACATTCTGAAAAATTGGTAGATCCTTTTGAGTTAAGTAATTTTGCTTCCATGATCTTTTACTTAAATACTATCTGACCTAACTGGAAGTTGATATAAACAGTTCTGGTGGGTTAAGAAATATAAACGTAGGTTCAATTTCATCACTGAAATTATTCCAAAGTTTCAATAAGGCAATAACTACAGCAACAACTTCTAGAACAATTGAAGATCCTGGCAATAACACTTCTCAGCAGTAGGGGTGCAACATGTATAAAGGCATTTTAAATGATTATGGTAGCTTTCCTTCATCAAGCTTAGAAGTCGGCTTTTTTCTCTTTCAGGGTCCCACATACTTACTTGAGTATGAGTTTCACATCTTGTATTCTATATTTACTAAGAGTCACTTAGAATCCCGGATGGATCGAAGTGGATTATTTTTAACTTGAATGAGTCTAATCTTGGCTGAGTTGACTGTAATTAAGATCTTGTTTTAAAATACATTTATGGAGAGGACTAGCTATATAATGCAAAGTCTACATGGTAGTCCATTGCAACATCAGTTGATAACATTCTTAGTAGTTATATTGGGTATTCTGTCATGGAAGAGGTGTGTAGAATGTAGGGATCTATAGAGTTGCCTGGTGGTCTGTGAAAAATATGAACTGACTTTGAGCTTTTTAAAAAATGTGTACTTTTTAGTTAAAATAACTCAAAGTTCATTCCCATGATCTCTTCATTAAATATGAAGGGTGACCCCTCCAAAAATCGGAATTATAGTGGGTGAGCCCCTTGTAATACAGGCTTACCCCCAGGTGAGTTTGTAGGAACCCATCTGTATTAGTGTACCAGTTGCTGTTGTTGAGAGAGGCTGCATTTGGCTTCATTGAATTTATTTATTTATTTATTTTTTTAAGGATCTTTCAGTGCATTTGCCCATTTCATGATGGGTGATTTGTGAGCTCACCTGCCTGCTCTATGCTGAATGTTCAGCAGCTTTTGACCAAAAACAACATGACTTATGTGCTCCACCCTCCCTATTCACATGATGTCATCTCACTCACCCCAAGCGACATTTTGTTGTTTCCCCCAATGAAAAAAGCCCTCAAAGGGAAATGTTTTGCTAGTGTGGAAGTGAAACAAAAAACAGCAGAAACACTAAAAGATACCAAAATTGATGAGTTCAAAAACTGCTTTGAGCAGTGAAGAAAACATCCTGATAGGTATATTGCACCAAATGGAGAGTACTTTGAAGTTGACTTAAGTTTAAATACGTAAGAATAAATGCACAATTAAAAAAAAATAAATTCCAGTTTTTATGGATCCCCTCTGAAGGGGACTGATTGTTTTTTTAATGATTGCAGCTTGATGCCTAAGTTACATGCACTTTTTTACATGTGCTTTTTTTTTTTAAGATTTATTTATTGATTTTTAGATAGAAGGGAAGGGAGGGAGAAAGAAGGAAAGAAACATCAATGTGTGGTTGCCAGTGGCACATCCCCACTGGGGACCTGGCCTGCAACCCAGGCATGTGCCCCAACTGGGAATGAACGGGTGACTCTGGATCATAGGCCTGGGCTCAGTCTACTGAGCCATACCAGCCAGGGCTCTATATGAGCTTTTATATGAAAGAATTATGAGATGAGATAATACAGGATAAGGACAATACACTTGTAATTGTATGATTATGCAAGATTTTCCTTGTGTAGGCATAGAATAATTAACAATGCCCTGAGAGGGCTAGTTCTCACCCATAATTCTATCTAAGTCAAAATTTTAAATTAGCTGGCTGGTTCGGGTCGCGGGGGGGGGTTGATGTTTTTTCTTCCCTTCCCTCTCTCAATATAAAGAAAATATTTAATTTAAATTAGCAAAGTCCTCACCCTTTATGGGGACTGACTCTGATTGGAAGAACAATTAAATTGTTCCCTTAGGTCTGGAAGAAAATATCTGTTCGTCTACACTGGTGGGTAGGGGGTTAAAGATTAAGAACTAATTGAGTCAAGGAATGTCAAAACTACAAGCCTAGATAGGTTGTCATAGCTTACTGTATAGTGGTTAGTTAAACACCATACATTGATAAATCATCTGTTGCCTACCTTCTCACTCCCCTATACTCAATGGTTAGTTTTAAAACAACAGCAACAAACTTTGATTTTTCCCCCTTTATTGATGAAGTAATTTCTCTCATACATTATCTTCCTAAAACATGGGAGTCTAGAAGGTGATATTTCTACTGCTTTTGCATTATATATGGTGCTGTTTTTTTGTCTCAGGCATAATTTGACCTAAAATATTTAGTCTCAGGGATAACAGGATACATGAATGTTATCCTATCATGTATTTCACATAAAAACAGATGGATTATCAGTTACTAGATAGTCATATTCAGGATACTTAAATCTAGATAGGTTCATCCAGAAATACTTTTTTTTAGTAGTTCTGCTATTCACAGATTTATACCTTAGCTTTACTTTTTGGGGGGGCAGTGTTAGTTTAACCCTGGAAATTAAATGGTCCTCTTCAGCTGTGCAAGTTGTGTGTGTGTGCTGGTTTGTGCCAGATTTCATATAATCATCAAATGCTTTTTTTTTGGTCTTCAAAACATCAGTAGTTTGCAAAGTTTTGGACAAACCACATCCCACCTCTCAAAAAACAAAAGTTTTAACCTTTAAACCATAGTCATATTTTATGGAGACTAGAATGATCTGGACATATTTGAAGATTCTATGAAAGGAATTGCCCAAACTTGATAGATTTATATCCCATCTATCAACTACTTGGTCTTTCTTTGGTTAGGAGATGAAAATGCCCTTCAGTGAATTACTGCTTCCCTGGATTAGGAAATGAACTCTACAATTGATAAACATTTTGATACCTCTCCTAAAAACTTATGAGATTTACCTGGTGAAGCTGGGTCATGGAGGGGTTCTCCTGTCTACAAGCAGTAGTCTATGGAATCTTTTGGTTCTGTTATGCTTTTGAGGAAACGGATATGCAATGATCTCAGGAGTTTTCTTAAGAGATATAGATACAGGCTCTGCAAACAGTGTATAACATTATCACAGAAAGACCATTGTGAGAAAGATGCATTCAGATAAATCTTAATGGAATTAGTACCTGTTTTTTTTTTTTTCATTTAGTTTGTTGGAGAACACAGAGGAAGTAGTCAGAGAACTTGCTTTGCATCGTCAAATTAAGGTTGGGGATAACTTTATTTTGATTTTAATCTTTTAGTAATAATGACCAAATGTCGCATTTCTATACTGTTTTACATTCCCTAGGTTGGGAAAGTGACTCATTTTATTTTTTTAATATTTTATTGATTATGCTATTACAGTTGTCCTGATTTCCCCCCTTTATCCTCTAACCCTGCACACCCCTCTCCCTCAGGCAATTCTCCCCACCACTGTTCATGTTCATGGGTCATTTGCGTAAGTTCTTCAGCTACTCCATTTCCTATACTGTACTTCACGTCACCATGGCTATTCTGTAACTACCAATTTGTACTTTTTAAAGAAGACTTTATTTATTTTTAGAAAGACAGGAAGTGATGGAGAAAGAGAGGGAGAGAAACATCAATGGGTGGTTGCCTCTTGCACGCTCCCTACTGGGGACCTAGCGCACAACCCAGGCATGTGCCCCTACTGGGAATTGAGCCAGCGACCCTTTGGCTTGGAGGCCTGAGCTCAGTCCACCAAGCCACATCACCTGGGGCCCAGTTTGTACTTCTTAATCCCTTTACCTCTTCACCCATCCCCTCACACCACACCTCCCATTTGGCAACCATCAAAACACTCTCTGTATCACTGATTCTGTCTCTGTTCTTGTTTCCTTTCTTTGTTTTTTAGATGCAGTTGTTGGTAGGTATGTATTTTCTTTTTGCCATTTTATTGTTCGTAGTTTCGATCTTTTTTCTCTTAAATAAGTCCCTTTAACATTTCATGTAATAATGAACTCCTTTAGTTTTTTCTTGTCTGGGAAGCCCTTTATCTGCTCTTCAATTCTAAATGATAGCTTTGCTGGGTAGAGCAGTCTTGGCTGCAGGTCTCTGCTTTTCCTGACTTTGAAAGTTTCTTGCCAATCCATTGTAGCCTGCAAAGTTTCTTTAGAGAAATCAGCTGACAGTCCTAGGAGAACTCCCCTGTAGATAAGTTACTTCTTTTCTCTTGCTGCTTTTCAGATTCTCTCTTTATCTTTAAGCATTGGCATTTTATTATGGAGTGGGTCTTTTTAAACCCATCTTGCTTGTGACTCTGTGCTTTCTAGACTTGCACGTGTTATTTCCTTCACCAAATTAGGGAAAGTTTTCTTTCATTATTTCTTCAAGTAGATTTCCAAATTCTTGCTCTTTCTCTTCCCCTCATGGCACCTCTATGATGCAAATGTTGGAATGCTTGAAGTTTTCCCAGAGGCTGCTTATACTGTTCTCAT